GTCACTTGTGAAGTCAGAAATAAAACAGGGATGCAGTACCTAACTTCTTTCCTGAGAATATGGCCCCTTCACATCCAGAAGTTTAGTGTTTCCAGAGTCATCAGCGAACAAAAATGTCCAGCTACAGATCTTGGAGAGCATGATATTTCCCTGACAGGAATCCAACCATTATGTCTCTTTGCTTTTTGTTCTTGCTCTCTCTGATCCTCAGCTTCTCTGGCTTTTGAACACAGCTTCCTGGCCCAAGGGTTGCCTGCTCCTTCTCCTGTCATACCTACTAGCTCAGGAGAAAGTCCCTGACTTCAGTCCTTTTGTTTTTCCAGCCTTAATTCTTAATGAATGGTCATATAGACCAATTCTCTGACCTCTGCAGAGTCCACGGGCAGCTTCCATGTCAGCATCTTCCAGTGCCCCATCCTCCCAGAACTCTGCACAATCTTCATAGACATCCTGCGGTACCAGCCCTGTCTCCTTGTCCCACACACATCCTAGTGCTGGCCGCCAGGTCTCAGGAAGGCAAAGCCTACTCAGCCAGCTTGCAGCCTCAGTGTCCAAAGAAGACACCTGCCCACTCCACATTATGATAGCCTCAAGTTTAACATAACCAGGTACCTGAGGGGAATTTCCACTGGAGAACATGTAAGAAAAGAGGCTTAGAATGAAGGGATTCTTTGTCACTGTAAGATCTGGCAAAATCATACTACCAGGAAAAATATTTTACACAGTAATTTTTAAGTTTTGACAATTTATTGAAAGGAAGTGGTAGTTTTTCTCTCATTGAAGATTATGCAGTGACATACTCGTTGGCAAGCTTATTCTTTAATTTTACACATTTTCTCTCTGACTCATCTTCTTATCTCCTTCCCTGACCTCCACCTTCTTCATTCTGTCTAAAATGTTAGAAGTCTCCTGCTCTAAACCCTATAGTTCTCTACCTACCATAAAAACCTACTTAGAACTGTGTACATCAGATGTATACAGTTCAATAACAGATCAAAAGTGAACATGCACATGTAACCACCACCAGATTTACCTTTTGTTTATCTTTGAGGCGACTTTCCTTCATCCTTTGTACAGATTTTGTGAAAAAATCAGTAACACGTTTTGGAAATAGCCAGATATTTAGCATTTCAAAAACTGGGGCAAGGAATGGAAACAGTACTATAAGGGAAAAAAAGCAATGGAAATATCAGTGAAAATGAAATATTTCCCTGGGGCAATTCTAATGTGGTCTACCAACCTGAGGATTAAAAGATACCAGGATTCATTCGTATCAGGAGTTATTCCCTTTATGACCTTTACTAGAAGTGGCTGAGTCGGAGCAAGTCACACATATGTGCCACCCCTAGAACAGCCAGATCAGTGTCTCCTGCCACATCTTTAGAGTGACCAAAGGAACAAGATTACATTCCTGGATCTCTTAGCCTTTTATTTTTGGACTAGAGTCTCAATAAAATCAATTATATTTCATACACTGTGATAAAAAATTCCAAAAGTGAAATTAGGAATATAACTCCTTTACAGTAACATCAAGAAGAACAGAATACTTAGGAATAGCTTTAACAAAAGAAGTACTTATACTCTGAAAACCACAAATATTGTTGAAATAAATTAAAGATTTAAGTAAATGGAAAAACATCCAATGATCATGGATTAGAACTTAATATTGTCAAAATGGCAATACTCCTCAAACTGATCTACAAATGAATGTACTCCTTATAAGAATCCTAGCTGGCTTCTGTGTAGAAATTGACACACTGAAATTAAAATTCATATGGAGGGGCGCCTAGGTGGCTCAGTCGTTAAGCATCTGCCTTTGGCTCAGGTCCTGATCCCAGGGTGCTGGGATGGAGCCCCATATCGGGCTCCCTGCTCAGCGGGAAGTCTGCTTCCCCTCTCCCACGACCCCTGCTTGTGTTCCCTCTCTCACTGTGTCTCTCTGTCTACGGCCATACCACCCTGAACGCGCCTGATCTTGTCTGTCAAATAAATCAATAAAATCTTTAAAAAAATAAATAAAATAAAATAAAATAAAATTCATATGGAATGTAAGGGACCCAGAATGACCAAAACAATCTTGGGGGGAAAAAAAAGAATAAAATTGTAGAACTCCAACTTCCAGTTTCAAAAATTACCACAAAGCTATAATGATCAAGACAGTGTGGTCCAGGCATAAGGAGAGACATATAGATCAATGGAATTGAATTTGGAGTTCAAAATTATACCCATGTGTTTATGGTCAACTGAATTTTTAGAAGGTTTCCAATACCATTCAATGGAATAAAAATAGTCTTTTCAATAAATGTTACTGGGACAAGTCACATGACCTCAGAAATTAGAATACATTCTTAAATATGACACTAAAATCACAGATAAAAATGGAAAAATACATAAATCGTACATCGTCAAAATTAAAAATTTTGTGCTACAAAGAACACTATGAAGAAAGTGAAAAGACACCTATAGAATGGGAGAAAAAATTTTCAAATCATATATCTTAAGGGTCTTTTATCTAGAAGATGCAGACAACTCTTTGAACTCAAAAACAGAGAAACAGCTGAACCAGAAATGGGCAAGAATTTGAATACATATTTAGCTAAAGAAGTTATGCACCCCAATGTTCAAAGCAGCAACGTCCACAATAGCCCAACTGTGGAAGGAGCCAAGATGACCTTCAACAGATGAATGGATAAAGAAGATGTGGTTCATATATCCAATGGAATATTACTCAGCCATCAGAAAGGATGAATATCTACCATTTACATTGACATGGATGGAACTGGAGGGTATTATGCTAAGTGAAATAAGTCAATCAGAGAAACACAATTATCATACGGTTTCACTCGAATGTGGAACGTAAGAAATAGTACAGAGAACAACAGGGGTGGGGGGGAACTGAATGGAAAGAATTCAGAGAAGGAGACAAACCATATGAGACTCTTCACTTCAAGAAACAAACTGAGGGTTGTGGAAAGGAATGTGGGTGGGGGGATGGGGTAACTGGGTGATGGGCATTAAAGAGGGCACCTGATATGATTAGAATTGGGTGATATACTCAACTAATGAATCACTGAATATTATATCAAAAACAAATGATGCACTATACCTTGGATAATTGAATTTAAATAAAAAATTAAATTTAAAAAAGAAGTAATGAAATAGGCGACAAGCATATAAAAAGTTGCTCAACCTCACTAGTCATTGCAAATGCAAAACAAAACCACAATGGGATACCCTTCACACTCATTAAGATGGCCATCATCAAAAAGATAGACAAATGTAGACCAACTGTTGGCAAGGATAAGCAGAAACCAGAACCCTCATGTTTAACTGGTGGGGATGTAAAATGATGTCATTATTGTGGAAAACAGTTGGGCAGTTCCTTATTAAATTAAACACGCTATACCTTAGCAACATAGCAAGTTACAATGCAAAGCATTGTACAAACAGCAAAGTTACTTCACAATTCCATCTCAGAATACACACCCAGAAGAATTAAAAACAGGTATTCAAACAAAAACTTGTGCATGAATGTGGATAGCAGTACTATTCACAATAGCCAAGAGTTGGAAACAACCCAAATGTCCCTCAAAAGATGGAAGGATAAACAAAATGCAATAAGTCCATACAGTGGAATATTGTTCTGCCATAAAAAGAAAGTTCTGATGCATGATGCAACATGGATGAACCTTGAAAACGTTATGCTAAGGAAGGAAGGCAGCCACAAAGATCACATGTTATATGATTCTATCTGTATGAAGAGTCCAGAAGAGGCAAATCTATCAGACAGAAAGCAGATTAGTGGTTGCTTAGGTCTAAGGAAAGTAGGTAGTGATAGTAAAGAAGTACAGGATTTCTGTGTTGACAACAATATTCCAACAATTGAGTGCAGTAAAAGTTACACATATCTTTGAATGCACCAAGCAGAGTTTTCAGTTTCCTTGAGTTATAAGAGACATACAGTATTATATAAGATAAGGTGTACTGCATATACTTGACATACATATATAAAAATGATTACCACAATAAGATTAGTTAACATGCATCATCTCGTACAGTTATAAAAACAAAATTTTCTGCCACTATGATGACAATTTACAAATACATCATACAGTGGTGTTAACTATAGTCATCGTGTTGTATTTACCAGTCCAGTAGTCCTCTATCTTATAACTAAAAGTACGTACCTTTGGTCACCTTCATTCAAGTCCCATCCCCCAATCCCTGCCTCTGATAACCACATCCGATCTCCTTTTTGTATGACTTTGTTTCTTGTATTGTTTTTTATTCCACGTGTAATTGAAGTCAAACAATATTTGTCTTTCCCTGTCTCACTCATTTCATTTAATAATGCCCTCAGGATCCATCCATGTTGTCCAAATACAGAATTTCCTTCCATTTTTATGGCCGAATAAGATTCCATGGTATATACATACCACATTTTCATTATCCATTCCTTGGACAATGAACAGTCAGACTGTAAAAATTGAATTGTACATTTTAAAAGGAGGACATAGTCTCTCGTGGTTTGTCTCCCCCTCTGATTTCCCCCTCCTCATTTTTCCCTTCCTTCTCCTAATGCCCTCCGTGCTATTCTTTATGTTCCACAAATCAGTGAAACCATATGATAATTGACTTTCTCTGCTTGACTTATTTCACATGATGAGTATTAAGGAGGGCATGTATTGCATGGAGCACTGGTGTTACACACAAACAATGAATCATGGGACACTACCTCAAAAACTAATGATGTACTGTATGGTGACTAACATAACATAATAAAAAATAAATTTAAAAAAGGGGGACATATATGTTATATGAAGTTATATCTCAGTAAAATTGTTGTAGAAAGGTAGGAAGGGAAGAAGTGAGGGAAGAAGGAAGGAAGGAAAAAGAGAAAACTAGTACTGTACGTACATAATGAGAAGACAAATGGATTAAAGAAATCAAATTTTAAGAGCTTCTTAGTATTTTCCACAAAGGGATCCTGTGGGTTGCTGAGGGAATCAATGTTCACTCCAAACGATGTGCTGGTAATCACATCTATGCTGTAGGCCCCGAAGATGCTTAGTAGAGAAAGAAAGATGTAGATAATTAAAAGCGATACCTTTTTACTGTTCTTATCAAACACATGACACAGGAAGTACATATAGATTCCAATGACCAGGCAAGACAAGAGCCACACTTTCAGAACCACCTGCTACATCATCTGAAGAGTCTATATGCCACCACACTCACTCACGAGGTGCTCAGGAGGTGCCACTGATGCAGCTGGCCTTGCGCTAGGGGTCATGGGGACACTGCAACATGTTAGACACACCTCTGAGCACAAGGAGCTCAGTCATGGAGGGTTAGAGACCAAGAGCTGGACATATTACAGTAGCGTGTTTTGAGTATGGGCAGTAGAAGGTGGATTAGCACTGTGTCTGAGAAGGACAAATGGTGGAATAATTAACCCTTCCTCAGGGCCAAGTAGGTGAAATTGATTGGGATCTCCTCTCACCACAGTATCTATGCTTAGAGCTGATTCCTCTTCAGCACATGATAAAACACCAACACCCTGTTCTGTGCTGCCAAGAACACCATCCCTTCTTCTCTACATCCCTGCTAAGGCTCCTGAAAGACCCACTCTGTCTCATCTCCATCAATCTGAGATTATCCTTTGGACTCACTCATTTCCGTAAAATATAAGAACAAGAATGTTCCTAGTGTAAAAAAAGATATTAAATTACACCAAAATTGACTTAGGGGATGCCATAGCTAAGCGATCATATGCCACTAGTTTCCTAGGACAGTCCCAATGTACATCTGTTCATCCTACATAATTAAAATATATTCCAGGGAGGGCAAAAAAAAAAATGGTCACCTTACCCATCCCATGAGCAGGGCCTTCTCTCTTTTGAGATTGAAAGAACAGCTGGTCATAAGAATTAATATTTAGTGTTCTGCTAATATCCTCAACAAATCAGGAAGGGGGTTAAGTTGTTCCAAGTTCCACATGTTAATGTTCCTCCCCCCCCACCAGTATGTACCAAGTGGCTTCCCCTCCCATCATTCCATACTCTCTACATTCAAAGATTTGCTACAGTTATGTGTCTTCTTTTCAAATAATGTATTTCTGTCTTCCAGAATATCCAAGGTGACAACTAAGCAGATGAATTAATCCTCCCTCATGTACACAAAAGAAGACCCTTTCTCTCCTGGCTGCTCTGCCTTTTTAGGTGAGTAGCCTCTTCTTGGCTGGCCCATTGGGGTTGTAACATCATACACCTACCTCAGCTTGTTCACTGAGTAACTCAACAGTGGGAATTTGGCTCTGTGGCAGCAGCTGGAAAGTGTTGTGACAGAGTCAGAAACCCAGCAGCTGCACTCCTACTTACTCTTTCAAGTTGATGCGCTTGCCTTTCTCTGCCTCCTTCCTCAGGTTCCTCACCAACACATCTCCGTACTGGCCAATGATGGAGAACATCTACACACAAAATACAACACCACCTGAAGTTAAATCTGAGAATCAAGTCCTAGGATGACATGGCTTTCACAAGCATGGAGCAGTGATTTGTAATAACAAATCTTATCATGTCTCTTGTAGGACATGAAAAGACCATTTTTAGGAAGCCCCAAATCAGCAGCCTACCCTTTAGAGACGGACTGTGATTTTATTTCCTACCTGCCCCCAGATGCATTCCTTAACTTTCTCATTGAAGATCACTCTTTTCTTACCTCCTTGAGCTTTCCGCTAGTGAAGGCTGGAGACAGCAATGTTCGTATTCTCTTCCATTCTTCATCCTCAGATATAGAGATTGCACTTTTCATAAATCCCACCGGACCAAGAGGCTAGAAACAAAGAAAAACACAATTTGCCTTACATAAGTTTTGGAGGTCTCAAAGGTTGTGGAAAATTTGTTAAACAGGCAGAAATTATTCAACAAATATTTAGTGATTATCAACTTAGTAGTAGGCCCTACGGTAGGTGATTAACAGATACTTATCCCAAATGCCTAGCCTCCCGCAAGGCTGAGGACACATCCAGCCACCTGATGTGTTTTCCAGCCTTTATATTCCATCTCTTTTCAACATAAATGTGGTATGGGATAATTTGGCAGGGAAACTACTCCTCCAGGGGAATACAGAGGATTAACACCTAGTGCATTCTCCTAAGCTGTGCAGAGTAGAATTGGATTGGTAGAAGGCAGCCAGATAGCCTGGAAAACTGTATGTTGCCTCAGACCAGTTCTGCCTTTACATATACCCACAGCATGAGAAATGGATGTCTTGATACGGTGATTTTTTTAAAAAAATTGTAGTTAACACTAAAAAGATGAGGAATCCAGTTGCTCTTGTGAAGAAATGATACAGTAACATGGAAGTCTCTTGTCCCTGTATTTTCCCCAAAGGGACATAAGGAAAAAGAGAAACAATTCTCTCTTCAATATATCATCTTGGGACTGGCCTAGCAAGCCAACCAGTTTGAATATTTCTTCCATTTTCCAAAACTATATTTTGTTTTAAAATGGATATCTCCATGGCTAAAGTTAACAACTCAGGGAACAACAGATGTTGGCCACGATGCAGAGAAAGGGAACCCTCATACACTGTTGGTGGAAATGCAAACTGGTGCAGCCACTATGGAAAACAGCATGGAGGTTCCTCAAAAACTTAAAAATAGAGCTACCCTACAACCCAGGAATTGGACTACTAGGTATTTATCAGAAGGATACAAACATAGTGATTTTAAGGGGCACATACACCCCAGTGATTATAGCAGCAATGTTCACAATTGCCAAAATATGGAAAGAGCCCAGATGTCCATTGACAGATGAACAGATAACCTAAGACATGGTATATATATATATATATATATATATAATGGAATATTACTTAGCCATTAAAAAGAATGATATCTTGCCATTTGCAACAACATGGATGGAACTAGAGGGTATCATGCTAAGCGAAATAAGTTAACCAGAGAAAGCCAATTATCATATGATTTCACTCCTATGTGGAATTTAAGAAACAAAACAGATGAACATAGGAGAAGGGAAGGAAAAATAAAATAAGATGACAACAGAGAGGGAGGCAAACCACAAGACACACTTAACTGTAGGGAACAAACTGAAAGTTGCTGCCAGGGAGGTGGCTAAAGGAATCGGGTAACTGGATGATGGGCATTTAGTAATGAAGTAATGAGCACTGGATGTTGTATGTAACTGATGAATCACTGAATTCTACCTGTGACACTAATAATACAGAACATGTTAATTAAATTTAATTTAAATTAAAAAAATTTTTGTCATATGTGTGTTTTATTTTTATTTTTCCCCATATAGCTTTTTACTTTTTTTATTATGTTCAGTTAGTCACTGTATAGTACATAATTAGTCCTTGATGCAGTGTTCAGTGATTCATTAGTTAACTATAACACCCAGTGCTCACCACAGCACGTGTCCTCCTCAAAATAAAAAATAAAATGGATACCTCCAACACCATTTCATGATAAAAACTCACAAACTAGGAAGAAAAGGAAAGTTCCTCCACTTAATAATGAGCATCTAAATACCCTACAGTTAACATCACCTCAGTGAGGAAAGACTGATATTATGTCACTAAGATGATGGAACAGGACACTCCAGCCTCTGTCACCCCACAAAAAACAATTAGACAGCTATCCACAAAGAAAAACAGGCCCAAGAGCTTAGGAGTCCATTGAAGAAGCTTCAGCAACACAGTGGAGAAAACTCCAGAGAATATCTGCACCAAAAAAAGTAAGGAAAATAACTTCATTTTGCCCGCATTACCCATGACCCAGGCCAGCACTGCTCAGCACCAAGAGGACACTCCGTGACTGAGACAGTTCCCCTTCCTGGGGAACAGCAGAAAGATGAGCAACTATTAGCCCTAGTCCTTCAGAACATGGCACAAATGACCTGTTCTGGTTTCAAACCTCCCAGAGACTGGCATGGCTGACATCTAGACACAGCTAGGAACAAAGAAGGGCAGGACTACCAGGATCAGTCAAGTGGCAGGAGTGACCATGTTGCTCTGTGTCCTGCTCTGCAGAAGACCCTAGCAGCCTTTGCTGCTGAGGAACCAACAGCCAGTACAGCACTGTGCACCCTCTAAGATTTTGCTGCTGATAGTCTCACAGGTTTTCACAATTGCAGACTCCAGCTGCCTCAGTCCTGCTGTGTTCCATCTGTACTCACTGGAGTTGCCTCAGCCAGTGCCACCACCAACACTGTGAGCCCCAGAATCTACACCACCAGCCAGTTTGGCCTCTGTAACTCAGCATACGTACAACACCAGCCCAGGCCCCAGCAGCTTTCAGGTGCCTGAGGCCAGGCCTGACTCCTGTCACTGGACTGCAGTGCCACATGAGACCACAGCTAAACCCTGAAGCTGTACACCTTCACATGGCCGGCCTGAACT